CCGATATATTTTTTTCTTCATACTGTCGGATTTATATCCATATATTTGCTTACACACACACACACATATATATATATATAATAAAAATCCGACTTGGACCCTTAGGCCTGCAAAAAGAGTGTCAGAAGGACAATTTTTTTTTTCCCTTGACCCCCACTATTATTTTATTTACCTTCACTCCTACGCAATGTTTATTTATTTTTTTAAAATAAAATGATTGGAACTGTACTGAAAACTAAATATATGAAAGTGAATTTATATATTTTCTTTGTTCTTGTGAATTTATAACAAAAACAGTAAACAAAATTATTTATATTGTTTATTAGAATGTTTGGCAAAACATTGGCTATAATTGCAAATAAATTCGTACTTTATCAAATGGTAAATAATGAGGATTTCCTTATATTTGGTTCACATATTTTAATAATTTAGTAAGTGTTTATAAATTCGTGAATAAAAAAATTGTTTTAATTTTTTACTTCTTTATAAATCGGTAAGTGATAAATATTACATTTTATCGGTTTTAATTTTATTAGTTTTTAGAATATTGTAAATATAAAATTATTTTTGTCAATAAACAATCTAATAAATAGTAATTAATATTTTTGTTGTAAATTCTCAAGAACAAAAAATGTATTAATTCATTTTTATCATAACTAAGTTTTATTGTAATTTTAAACATTGCTTTTACAGTTGTGACTTCTATCAGAGAGATGAAATTTAAATTTTTATTATTAATCCAAAATTTTAACACATCAGCAGAATGTCAACAACTGAGCACAAATAGTTTAATTAAAAAAATAGTAATTAATGTATAATATTATCCATAAATACATGTACAAGAAAGTCGTTTTTGATAAAAGTTAAAAAATAACTATAAATATGTAAAAAAATGCATAGACTGTTGAAAATTCCTTTTCCCACAATATAGCTATTTGTGTTATGTTATAATGCTTATTACCTAAGCAATAATAATAATACTGAATAAATTTGTTTAAATATTAAAGTATATTTAGTCACATCTCCTTAATAGCTGTTGCAATCTGTTAAAAAAAACAAAAAACAAAAAAAACATTGCTATGGAGTGAAGGTAGTTAAAATAATAGCAGTGTCAAAGGAAAAACTGTCCTTTATGCAACTCTGTTTTTTGTGGGCATGAAGGTCCAAGTTTGCCAAAAAATCTAAGTATCAGAATGATTTGCAGTGAGCAAGAAATCAAAAGGAGGTATTTCTTCTATTCTAAAAATGATGTTAATAAATTACTCTACAATTCTGACTACCAACTGAAAACAACAAAACTGGATTTGGATAAAGGATAACCATTACCAATATTATCATCTCCATATTTTTTTTGGTCAAAACCTACAAAAATTGATTTTCCTGACATTTTTGTTTAATCTCTGGTCATTTATAAACAGGGATTATTAGCTTCTGTAGATCTGTTTTCTGCCTCTTCTTAGGGGTTAGGGTTTACTCTTGATGTCTGCAAAAACATGCAGATTAAACTGGGCAATTTTTTTTTTGTACTTCCCATATGCATTTTGCAAAATGTCTCAACAGGCCAAGTTTTTTTTTTTTTTTTTTGTCTATAATGTTGCAAGTTTTTTGCTGTCTTTTAGATTCCTCCTTTGCACTGACAACTTGTAGGGTTTTTATGACATGGGCAAACTGTTTTAAGACATTTTCAAAGATAGGAGGTGAAAAGACTGACTGGAAGAATGGAGTACAACAGTATGAATTGGAAAAATACATTTAAAGAATCACATGTGAAAACCTAATGATAACTTAATCTAAATAACTTAATAATGGTTAATAAACAAAAATATAAAACACAGGTTATTTGCTGCAAACTATTGTGGTCTGAAAAGAAAAAAATACAAAGTGAATTCAAATAAAATTGGAATTCTGAAGAGACACTAAATACATTAAAATCTTTTTTATGGTCAATGTTTATTGCAATAAAAACTTGAGTTCTGGAGAGGTCTTTTTTATAAAAAGAAATATTTTTTATTGATTAATTTATTCATTTTTAATGGCTTATCAACCCTTTTGCAGGTTATTTAAAAGTTACAAAATATTTTGAGTGTAAGAATTTTTTTGGAGATAATGATTTAGTGATGCAAGTTTTATAAATTAATCCATAGCAAGGGGGAGAAGAGGTGGATTCATACCTTTCTTGCACACGAGTGAATATAAGGCCCTCCAATTAACAATTCCGAAGTAGTCACCCATCTAGGTACTGACCAGGCTTGATATTGCTCAACTTTGATGATCGTATAGTATTTCAATGTAATATATGGCTGTAAGCCCCACATTTTTTAAACGGATTTATACTCACATTTAGTAAATATTAATAAGGATTTGCTATACAGACTAAGAGTTGTTAGTTTCTAAAACAAAGTTTCCAACATCAATCAACATTGGTTCTTGAAATTCTCAAAGTCAGTCAAACCAACGTTTCTTCCCAGTAGATTTAAATAAACAGGCTGGATGAAGATGATAACCCAAATCTTTCCAAGTGCAGAAGTCTATAAACAGACAAATTTATCATGGCACTATCACAGAAATCTTTAGCATACAGTCATGTGAGTATTTGTGATAAGCAGATCAAGTCTACAAGACAGGTTTGTAGAATTGCTAGCTTTGATTTGAACCAATCAATTACAAACCCTTGTAAAAGCTTCCCTTGAAAATTCTTGCACAGTTATAAAATCCATTTATTACAAAAAAAGAATGAGATATATGAAAATTATTTCAGGGATAATTTAGTAAGGAAAATTCATATAGCATGACTTCATTGCATTATTGTTACTTTTATTTGTCTTTTGTTTTTAAACCTTTGTCTTAATTATTGCTTGTGATTCATTATGGATAAAATTCTATATAAAGAAAGGGTATGTGCATGTGGGGGGGGTTCTTAATGTTATCAGCACAAAAAGAGGTGTTTCATGGTTATTGGCACAGAAAAGAAATTGGTGAGCTGAGTTCAAAGTGGTTTAGTCTGTTGCATTTATTTTCACTCAGTCTTGAGAAAGGCATAAATCAATGCTTACTCTCTCTCTCCTTACTTGCCTTTTATGAATTAGAAAGCAAGATAAACTCTATTCTAGCCTTGGCCAACAGCCAGTCTACGAGAATGATTAATCTGAATTCAAAATTGATGGTAATGCGAGAATCTACTCAGAATCATTTAGTAGTGGCAATTCACGGATAAAAAAAAAGAAAAAAAAAAAGTGATCAGCCATGGTTACCTATGTTCTAAAGTGATATGAAACTAACTCTCTCTCTCTCTCTATATATATATATATATATATATATATATATATATATATATATATATATAATTAACTTATAATATATATATATATATATATAGATAGATAGATAGATAGATATTATAAATTAATTGATTTAAAATATGTTTTTTTTTTTTTTACACAGTTCTAACCATGTTTCAAAAATGGAAGCTAAAAGTCCTGAATTTAATTTTGTAATAAACATGGTTAGAACTGTGTAGGGAAAAAAAATATATTTTAAATCAATTAATTTATAATATTAATGCTCTGTAAATTTACATTGAGCACTATTTTGTAAAAATAAAAATATCCATAAGAACACCAGATTATATATCTTATATATATATATATATTTTATATATATATATATATATATATATATATAGATGCACAAGTAAAGACAAGGGGAACAAAAATTTTATGCTAATGTGTTTTGTTCCTTGAGAAACTGTAGCAGAATTTTACGGGGGATAAAACTCAATCCAGCAGTGACAGGTCTCAAGAACTCATCCTCTACACAACTTGACAACTCGTAGATAAACTAGATGACAGCAATCAAGTTCCTCATTTTATAGAACCTAATTTGCATAGTGCAATGAGAATCTTGTTTAGAATATACATATCCTTTGAGACTCACGCTGACAAGAGTTTATGCAGGACATGTACGTAGTTTTTCTTTTGGACAGGTATGTGGAATGTTGTTTACTCAGGTAAGCATATTCTTTTACTGGTTGGCTTTCATTTTTTTTTTCTTCTTCCTTGGAAAATGGTGCACATGACATGGGTTTGTTTTTCAGGACATTCATTTATGTGTTCACTATAGGAACTTTATCAAGGCAAGTGATCAAGTCCTTCAAAGAACAAAACATGTTGGCATAAAATGTTTTCCTCGTCTTTTCTTTTGTCTTTACAGATACATTATAAAGCAAAAATAGACCAAGCTATTGGTAAAGCTTCAAAAGAACAACCCTACCAAAAAGAAAAACATGAAAGAGATCAAGAAGAAAGACAAAGAAAAAGAGATCAAGAAGAAAGACAAAGAAAAAGAGATCAAGAAGAAAGACAAAGAAAAAGAGATCAAGAAGAAAGACAAAGAAAAAGAGATCAAGAAGAAAGACAAAGAAAAAGAAAAGAAAAAGACAAGAAAAGAGATCAAGAAGAAAGACAAAAAAAAGAAAAGAAGAAAGACAAAGAAAAGAGATCAAGAAGAAAGACAAAGAAAAAGAGATCAAGAAGAAAGACAAAAGAAAAGAGATCAAGAAAGAAAAGAAAAGACAAAGAAAACAAAGAAAAAAGAGATCAAGAAAGAAAAGAAAAGAGATCAAAAAGACAAAGAAAAAGAGATCAAGAAGAAAGACAAAGAAAAAGAGATCAAGAAGAAAGACAAAGAAAAAGAGATCAAGAAGAAAGACAAAAAAAAAAGAGATCAAGAAGAAAAACAAAGAAAAGATCAAGAAGAAAAACAAAAAAAGAGATCAAGAAGAAAACAAAGAAAAAGATCAAGAAGAAAGACAAAGAAAAAAGAAAGAAGAAAAGAAAAAAAAAAAGAGATCAAGAAGAAAGACAAAGAAAAAAAGAGATCAAGAAGAAAGACAAAAAAAAGACAAAAAGAAAAAGAGATCAAGAAGAAAGACAAAGAAAAGAGATCAAGAAGAAAAAAAGACAAAAAGAAAAAGAGATCAAGAAGAAGACAAAGAAAAAAGATCAAGAAAAAGACAAAGAAAAAGAGATCAAGAAGAAAGACAAAGAAAAAGAGATCAAGAAGAAAGACAAAGAAAAAGAGATCAAGAAGAAAGACAAAGAAAAAGAGATCAAGAAGAAAGACAAAGAAAAAGAGATCAAGAAGAAAGACAAAGAAAAAGAGATCAAGAAGAAAAGAAAAAAGAAAAGAAAGATCAAGAAAAAGACAAAAGAAAAAGAGATCAAGAAGAAAGACAAAGAAAAGAAGTCAAGAAGAAAGACAAAAGAAAAAGAGATCAAGAAGAAAGACAAAGAAAAAGAGATCAAGAAGAAAGACAAAGAAAAAGAGATCAAGAAGAAAGACAAAGAAAAAGAGATCAAGAAGAAAGACAAAGAAAGGAAAGACAACACATACAGAAAAAAAGAAGAAAAAGAGTACAAAATACTGAAGTGCTTAATGCCTCTAGATATTACAGTAAGAGCAGCAACACTAACAAATATCAAACAGCACTTAAATCCAAATTGTTACTGAGCTTCGTGCTAAGCAATTGTCAGACAATTTGTATCATCCTTGATATATGTGTGTGTGTATATATATATATATATATATATATATATAAAACTTGAATTTTCACCTCTGATCAGATTAAAAGCATGTTCTTAAGTGTTCCATAGACTACCCACATTACAAGGAGTTAAAATAATTTAAATTTATCTAAGACAACTTACCTTTTGTTTTTAAAATCTTTGTCCTTAATTATTGTTTGCCATTCATTAAATAATTAAGTCTAGTATTTTTCCATTACCTGACACTAATCGGAAAGACAAAGCATATTTGGAAATGAACTAAAGTGTGTGTGTGTGTGTGTAGTGAGAGGCGAAAATTTTTTTTGATCTTATTGCAGTGAATAAGAAATTTTCTTTCAGAAAAATTTCATAAGTTATTCCTTACACAAACAAATAATTTTTGCACTTAAAATGCATGGAAAAAAAAAAAGTTTCCCATGAAAGATGAAAAAAAGTAAAATAAAAGATATATATCTTAGCCTCAAAGATGAACTGCAACTTTGATTTGAAAGTCAGCTTCAGTCTGTAGTACTTAAAGAATTATTTCAAAAAGGGATGGGAGTGGGAGGTCTTCAACATCAAGAAATGTAGCAATTAATTTTTTTAATACTAAATTTAACTCAGCAGAAAATTTAATTCTGAAACTCAAGGGAAGTTAAGCGCAAATAATTTCAACCTAAAGTTTTTTTTTGTTTTTTCCTTTTCTGATATGAAAAACTTTTTTTTTTTTTTTTTTAAATATCTGAAAAATTGGCAAAATAGAATCTTGAAAATGAAATCCCATTTTGGTCTGCATGAAGCCAAGAACCAAAACATTTAGTCCTGTAAGATATATTGCCAATTAATTTAATTACCTTTGAAAATGAAGCAAGATAATATCACCTACTCTATATTCTGACTAATAATACGAATAAAAAAAAAAATATAATGAAAAATTTTAGAATAGTTATGCAAGTTTTACATATAAAACAAGATTAGTTTTCTATAAAGGTACAAACAGACAAGAAGATAGTTTTCCTGGCCCTTTGATGACTTTTCAGTTAATTTCATGTCAACTGGTATACTTGTAAAATAAAATGTTTAAAAAGTTATACATTTATTGATTCCCTTAAGTGGATCAACTCTTAAAAAATAAATAAAAATTAAAAAAAAAAAAAAAAAAAAAAAAAAAAAAGAGCTTTTATTCTATGAAAACTTAAATTTTCTAAGCGTATCAGGTTATCCCCATATCATCCTAGTCATAAATTATACAATTCCTTTGTTCAAACACTTCATCAGTTGATAAGTCATTTCATAAGAAACAAGTGTCATATTCTCCATCAGAGTTGGATTTTGTGGTTTCAGACTTACTCCAATCTCAAAATATTTAAAGTTCCAATGAATAAAAAACTGAAAAAGGAAAGTTTATAAAGCTTTTAAATTGAGTAGAAATTGCATCTATTTGGTTGTCACAATCATATTCTAAGCCAGTGGTTCCCAAACTTTTTTTTTTCTTAGGGTCATATTTTTGAAATTAAAATTTGCTTGCACCTAACCAAATTTTAGATGATAAAAAGTACATGAAAAAAAAAAAAAAAAAAAAATTAAAGATAGTGTTAAAGGGAGATAACCATGGATTTGAAGTCAGACATAATCACTGATAACTCATTTGCAGACTATAGTTACTATATTCTTAATATTTGATATAATGCAAAAAATATTACAATGATAAAATCGGTCAATAATTTTTTATAACTATTTATACTGGGACTCATGCATGCAATTACAAGTAATCCATAATATTTTAAATTTTGAAATCATTTATTTTTGGCATATAAATTTTTTGAAACTGTTTCTAAATCTTTGATTGATTTTCAATTATTCCGCCTCGCCTGCTATCCTCTTCTGCTGCACCTATGTGGCACTCCACACTGCTTGGGAACCATTGTAAGTCAACTGGCAAAGTCTGAGGAGGCATCCTGGGTCAGTCTTTTAGAGTGGTAATCAATGCACTTAAACTGACACTGAGGTAGATCAAACATTACACGGTGAATATTTTCTGATCAAAATTTAGATAAGAGAGGTGTGTGTGTGTGTGTGCGCGGAGATAGTGTAAGGGTTATTGGTGCAGAAAGTCTAAAAAGAAAAAAGTAAATTGGTGAGCATAGTTCAAATCCCTGTCAATTCTGTTTAATGCACACTTCTTTATAGTAATGCTCTTAGAAAAGGGGTATGAATCCATGTTCCTCCCACTTATAGGTTAAATAGCAAGGCAGACTGCTCTTTTGCCTTGGATGGCAGCTCATCTAGGAGGAAAACTCCTAATTCAAACCTGATGAGGGTTTTTTGGAGACTTTGTGACACACTGTACACCACTTTTATGATAGCCAAAACATTGTGGCTGATTATTCTAAACTGAAATTTTGGAGAGTCAATTACAATGTATTTTTGAAAGTATTATAGCTTATCTAATTATATATTTAGTGATATAATTTAATTCTGAAACTTGGTCACATGAGAGAAGGATACATATGGCCAAAAAGAACTGAGCACTGGAGATTAATGTTTATGCCAAACTATCCAAGTTTGAGAGAGTGAGAGAAAGAGAGAGAAAATGAAATAAAAATCCTGTCTCAATTTATATATATATATATATATATATATATATATATATATATATATATATGTGAGAGAGCGAGAAGAAATATACACAACATTGCAAATCCTGTCTCAATTTTACATTGTCTAGAAAAACAAAAAAAAAAAAAAAAAAAAGGCATGAACAAAAAAATTGCAAACAATTGGGAATAATACCTCCAGACAATATATGGACTGAATGATTATACAAATGTTACATCTAAAGAACAAAAAAAAAAAAAAAAGGGCAAGTAAAAATTGAAACAATTGCTGAATAAGTTACAAATTTTATATATATATATATATATATATATATATATATATATATATATTATATATATATATCTCCTTGCTTGAACCAGCTTCTAATGCTCTGGATGGAGCGGCTTGGTGATGGTAGTCATGGCTCTCGGAGGCACAGTCCTATGGGCAAAGGAACTTGGATGAGTTCCACCATGGAATTTGTGAACAAGCGGCGCAATATCGAGTCTAGTTCACTACCTCTTAGATGCCCGTTAGTACAGTTGGCATGACGTTTGCCTGTCAATGTAGCTGACCGGGTTTCAGCTCTCGGTAGTGGATGTGCACTGCTGACGAGTCCCAAATATAGGATGAAATGGCCATACAGTGCTTTTTGCATTCTGTTGAGGTTTCTTCTAGACTTCGATGAATTACTTATATATATATATACACACACATATATATATATATATATATATATATATATATATATATATATATATATATATATATACATACATATATATATATATATATATATACATACATATATATATATATATATATGCACACACACACACATATATATATATATATATATATATATATATATATATATATATATATATATATATAAAGTAAATTTGTCCTTGGCTGATTGATGTTACCTTCAGCATCTCTGACTAGTGATTTTCGTAGGGGGGACCTGACTGTCCACTCTTCAGGGGGTTTCAGTAATTACTGCTGTTATTTTTTCAATATTTTTCTTTTTATATAAATTCAACATTGGTGTAAGGTTTTTTATGTATTTTTTTGTGTTCAGGCCGATAGCTAAAAATAAATACTATTTAATAAATAAACTCCTTGTCTACTCAAATATGAATAGACACTAAAAATAATGTTTAAAGTTACAATATATGAACATTTTTCTTTGCAGTACAAAATTTAATAATGGTGTATGAACACAGACATGGAAATGTAGTTAAAACCAGAGGGAAAAAAGTCTGACATTTAATATGAAAAAAAAAAAAAAAAAAAAAATGAGTTTATTGGTTGTTAGTCCTCAAAATGTATATACCAACTAAAAAGATAAAGAAAAATTAATACATTGTTATTAGTAACATACTAAACACAGAATATTTACAAGCTGATTACATTAAATCCCAGCAGTCTTTCCTTTTGTTTACAAAGTGAAGGTTTCTTGGACTTAATGAAAATGCTTTCTTTTTTATTTTTTCCTCCCAAGAGAATGTATTCTTCGATGGTTACAATCTTAACATGTTCAAGTCTAGGGTCAACCATGTCTTCCCCACATATCTGTATAAACTGTGCCTCTTACACTGTAACCCTCTACCTTGAGTGGCTTCTGAGCCTTGTACAGAGTGAAACACACTTCATGCATAAAATGAAAGAGTGAAGATACTTCCAATATCAATTAAAGATCAATAGTGTAGGTAGTTGATCTCCATTAGGTTAAATAGATTGAAGAACTAACAGATGATTGCCTGAAAAGTATAAATTATGATGGGGTTCTCATGAAGTGAATAGAAGTGTATAAGTAGAAAGAAAACACTTACTTGGGGGATGAGGGGAAGCAAAATTATTAAATTAAGTAGGAGACGTGTCATTGGCTTGTTGCACTAATTTTAATTACATCACTTAATACTTGATAGCCATAAGGAAAAATTACTCAAGACAAAGTCAAAAATAGAAAGACTTCAACTCTTATCAGATTAAAAGCAGGTCGTTAAATGTCCCCTGGACTGGGGTGTTTACTGATATTCACATTCCGAAGACATTCTAAGACATTTTGTTTTAATTTTCCATTTATTTTTAAAAAAAATCTGTTTTGTCCTTAATTGCTGTTTGGCATTAAGTATTCGAGGAAAAAAAGAAAATAAAAAACAAAAACATTGAATTAGTTAATTGTCCCTAATCGCCCAATGACTGACCAACTTCAGAGACTAAATAGGTCTCATCAGAGAACTAATTCCCTAAATTTGGTAACAGACTGGGCTGACAGAGGAGGAGGTGTAAACAAGCCAGATTATTTAAGACCTTCTTGCAGTGAATAAGCAAGAACTGAT